AGAAAAAAAATCTCTGTATTAGTCAAGTTTCTCTAGAGGAACAGATTGTGTGTGTGTGTGTGTGTGTGTGTGTGTGTGTGTGTGTGTGCCTGTGTGTTATACAAGGGGATTCAGTGGATTGGTTTACATGGTAGGGGATAGGCTAACCCAGCAATGACCATTTAGAGACTGAGAGGCTGAGAATCCTGCTGCTTAGTATCATGGTGGATGCCTCTGCAGTCTCAATCTGGTGATGAAGGCCTGGAAGATTCCTGGACTGTTTCTGGTCTGCAGTCTAGGCTGGAAGGGCTGAAGGAGGTGGAGCCTGATGCTGGCTGGGGTGGTTGCAGCCCCAGCAGCACTTACAGGGATGGAGCGACTCTAGCAAGCAGCAGAGGCTGCCTCTTCCTTGAGGGTCTTCCACTCAGTGGAAGGTGCCTCCCACTCTGAGGGAGGGTGCTCCCACCCACCCCTCAGTCAATCCTTTCTGAAAACTGTCTCTCTCACACACAGAGGCCTATCTCTTAGTTAACATTCCTTCAAATCGACAGGATTTAACCATCAGCATCCCTAATGTTTTCAGAAGTGGGAAACTAGCTATTTTGAGAACATACCCAAAGAATTTGGTTTCCTTTATCAAGGACTGTCCTCAGGAGAAACTACTTAATCAGAAACTAACTACCAGAGCCCAAATGACCTGGAGAAGAGAAATACCCATCTCCAGTTGCCTGTAGCTTTTTTGTAAATGAGGGTGAAATACAACTGAGAAGTGTTTGTTAGGTCAAAGTCTAGGACAGAGGTTCACCAAATGACTGCGTTCTGGGGCTGGAGAGGTGGCTCAGTGGTTAAGAGCACTTCCAGAGGACTCAGGTTTGGTTTCCAGCACCCACATGGTGGCTAGCAGCTAGCTGTTAATACAGTTCCAGAGGATCCGGATGCCATCTTCTGGCCTCCACAGGTACTGCATGCACACTGCATACATACAGGGAAAACAAACCATACAATTTTAAAATAAAAACTATTTTTAGGCCGGGTGTGGTGGCGCTCGCCTTTAATCCCAGCACTTGGGAGGCAGAGGCAGGCGGATCTCTCTGAGTTCGAGGCCAGCCTGGTCTACATAGTGAGTTCCAGGACAGCTGGGGCTACAAGGAGACCCTATCTCAAAAAGACAAAAAAACAAAAAAAAAAATAGCTATTTTAAAAAAAGACCGAGTTACTAGACCTAATCTAGGACTATTAGCTACTTCCCTTCCCCCTTCTTCCCAACACTGATAATGTAATCACACCTGGAAGAACTGAGCATCTCAGCACATATTTAAGACGTCAGTCTCAGAACCTGAACAGTACACACCTGTAATATCAGCTCTTGGGAGGCTGAGGCAGGAAGATTACAAGTTTGAGCCCAGCCTGGGCTACATGTAGAAACTTTGTCTCGAAGCAAAAACAGAATTCCCAAAGCACTAGCAAAACAAAACGAAGAAACCCAAGCAAAGGATATGGCTCAGAAGCAGAGTGCTTACACAGCATGCGTAAACAAAGAACCGGGGGTAAAATAGGGGAAAATCTTACCCACACAGCAAGAACTACATCACACCTCTTCAAGAATACAAAATAAAGTGGAATGCAGCATTTAAAGAACCTAAAAGTCTATTTTCAGTGAAATTGTTCTGAAAAATGAAATACTTTCCTAGACAAACAAAAATTGAATTTGTTAGGGGTAGAGCCTTTATGGGTGGAACTTTGATGGCACAGGCTCTGAACTCCTAAGTTCCTTAAGAAAACAACAGGGAAAGGGGAGCTTTCTCTGGTGACTCAATCATCAGATTGATCAGACATGGTGACCTAATCAGTAAAGTCCCAGTCTAACAAGATGTGATGGTTGGTATTTTATTTTTTTTATGTCTATGAGTGTGTTCTAGTTTGCCTTCAATTGCTGTGACAAAATACTCTGACCAATACCAACTTGGTGAGGAAAGTTTATTTGGCTTCCATCTCCTGGGTCATAATTCATCACCAAGGGAGCCCAAGGTAGGAACTCAGGACAGGAACCTGGAGGCAGGATCTGAAGCACAGGTCATGGAGGAACGCTGCTTACTGGCTTGCTCCCCTGGCCTGTGCTCAGCCTGCTTTTTTATACAATACAGAACAAGCTGCCCAGGGATGGCACTGCCCACAGTTTGCTGGGCCCTCCCACAGCACTCAAAAATCAAGAAGATACCCTAGAGATGTTGTGGGGAGTTTCACCAGAGAAGACCATTCAGACACAGAAAATTGCCAAAAAAGAGCATCTTTTTAATATTTTATTTTATGTGTATGAGTGTATTGCCTGCATGTAGGTAAGTGCACCTGTGTCATGAAATGCCTGTGGAGGGCAGAAGAGGCCATTAGATCCCCTGGAACTGGAGTTACAGACAGTTGTTAACTGCCATGTGGGTGGTGGGATTTGAACCCAGGTCTTCTGCAAGAACCACCAGTGTTCTTAACCACCGAGCCATCTCTCCAGACCCAAAAGAAAGTCATTATTAGCCATCTAGTGACTACACTGGGCATTTGGGTCCCAAGTGCAGCCCCAAGCCATCTTTAGGGCAAGCTTTTTTTTTTCGAGACAGGGTCTCCCTGTAGCTCCAGCTGTTCTGGAACTCATTATGTAGACCAAGCTGGCCTTGAACTCACGGAGATCCACCTGCTTCTGCCTCCCGAGTGCTGGGATTAAAGGCGTGTGCCGCCATGACCTGCTAGGGCAAGCTTTTATACAGAAAAACCACATCCGGGGTAAAAAGTTTGAGTTTCCAGGCATTTCTATAGCTTGGGGGGTGGAAAGCCCGTTTAACAATTACTATTCTGCAAAGCAAGTCAAGCATAAAACACAGAAGCCATAAATCTACAGTTATCAGGAGCAACCAGACACATGTGGACCTGTTCTCTAGGCAACCAGGACCCTGCTAATGTGTTTTCAAACTCATACCTTGGTGTAACTGAGCCATATCTACTGTTCCCGCACCCTGGGCTAACTGCCTTTTAGTTTTAGAGGCTAGATTCAGTCTGGACTCCAACACAGTGTAGTTATGGTCAAGAAGGCGCCTTATCACACAGACATGGCTACAGGCCAGTCCAATCAAGGCAATTTCTCAGTTGATACTCCAGGTGTGTCAAATTGATGGTTAAAGCTACCCAGGACAGAGTGAATTCCCTGTATGTGCTGTGTGATGCCTGGGAGGTCTGAAGAGGGTGTCAAATTCCTTTGGAACTAGAGTTACAGATGGTTGTTAGCCACCATGTGAGTAATGGGAACTCAACCTGGGTCCTCTGCAAGAGTAGCCAGTGCTCTCGATCGCTGAACCATCTCTCCACCCTATGATGGTTGGTTTAAATGTCATCTTGTCACAACCTAGAATCACCTGAGCAGGGAGCCTCAGTTGAGAAATTGTCTACAACAGGTTGGCCGTGGGTATGTATGCCTATTTTATCATTGCCTGAATCGATGTGGTTTGAAAACCCACCCCAGGTGTGGGTGGCACCTTTTGGTAGCAGCTGAGATAAAAAAGGACATGGAAAAGAAAAGATACTTGCCTTTTGCTTTCTTGCCCTTTGCTACTACCACCTTGTTAATTTACCTGGTTGCTGCTGATTCATTAGCTGATATTAGAACCAGCTTTTCCAGGGTTCCAACATGGATTGAGGATCAATGGAACCCTCCAGGCCTATCAGCCCCAGATTGGGTACACTGAGACACACAGTCTTGTGGACTTGGCAACTACTGGGTTCTCAGTCTCTCTTATATGAGACTTCTCTAACTGCTGAGGCACCCAGCCTCAAGGACAGAGTGACTATGGACCTTTTCAGGTGTGAGACAGCTGCTGTCAGACTATTTTGCCCATATTTCATAAGCTGATTTAATAAGCCCTGTTTTACTGGTCCGTTCTAGTAGAGAACCCTGACTCATAACATTACATTGTCAAATGTGCGCTTCTGAATTCTTTACATCCTACTCTTGATATAAGGACCTCAGACCCCCTAGGGGTAGAGTGTAGATCTACCCAGAAGAAATGCCATGCAAGGTTTGCAGCACTGGATGCTCCTGCATTTAAGGCCTGAGAAGGACCTAGCTAGCCTGCTCTGCCACCAGCATTCAGTGGGAAAAAGACACCAGATGAGACGGTGCCTGTGTCCTGGACTTGGGAGTTCAGATCCAACTGCAGGTAGTCACACCAGCCAGGTTTTAAAAAATATTATTTTATGTGTATGAGTATATTGCCTGCCTGTGTCTAAGTGCACCTGTATCATGCAATGCCCTCGAAGGTCAGAAGAGGGTATTGGATTCTCCCTGGAACTGGAGTTTTGAACAGTTGTTAGCTGCCATGTGGGTGCTGGGAATCCAACCCTGGTCTTCCGCAAGAGCAGTCAGTGCTCTTAGCTGCTGAGCCATGTCTCCAGCCCCCTTTTATTCTTTTTGAGACAGGGTCTCCCTGTAGCCCCAGCTGGCCTGGAACTCACTATGTAAACCAAACTGGCCTCCCAGTTTCAGTGCTGGGAACAAAGGTGCATGCCACCACGCCACGCAAATCTGCTATTCTTTTGACTGGGCAGAGGAGGAACAATAGATTTCAGAAGAGGACAAAAAACCCCAAATTTGTGAACTCAGCTGCTAGGTTGGGAGACAGAAAAGGAGAGGTGAGGGTAGACAGAGCCACCAGAAAGCCAGTAGGCTGAGGAGCTGGGGCTTGGGGACACTGCTGGGCAGAGCATAAGCTGGAGAGCCTGGGAACATGGCTACTCCAGCACACTGTGCTGCTCCATCCCACCAGTGTCAGACACACCAGGAATGGCCCGATATTTCCAGAAAGTGTAATACGAGGGAGAAGGAAGACTTAAGGAAACTATGTCCAAATGTCACCCTGGAAAAGGGCCCGAAGATGACATCCATTCAAGTGGGACAAGATTGCAAAGCCAGCGCTCCGGGTGGTACCACCAAAAGTCCTTAACTGAAGGTGCCCATAGCCCCAGGTCCATATTACAACTACTCAACTAAAGAACAGCTTTATTGGTGACCTGAGAGAGCCAAGGTCTCCTGTCCGACCCTCACTCCCAGGAGGTATCAACTGCAAGGCCCTCTCCTATCAAAGCCAATCACATGATTCATGAGATTCCTGGCTTGGAGTCAGATCTCCACTCCTAATCAATTCCCAATCCTTATTTCAGAGTCAGCAGCAAGGTCAGTGGCTCGAGTCTGATGGGCATCATGCCCTGCCTGTGAGGGGCTCAGGAGGCTGGCCAAGTTGTTCGGTGACAGCTGCATAGCTGTGGAGACAGAGGCCAGGAAGGCCACAGGAAACTGCCCCTAGAAGTTGGCAAGAGGGCCCATGCTCTGGCAGGGCATGGAACTGGCCCTGCAATTGCACTTTGGGTATGATGGGGTCACATCACTGAGCAGCCTGGGAAGGACAGTGCCCTGCCACTTGTCCTCAGCATGCCAAGGCTCCATGGTCTAGGCTCAGTGGGGCTGCCAAAGCCTGTCATTCTTGGCTCCTCACAACTGGTACATTGTCTCAGATATATCCATGTTCTTGACAGGATTCAGGTACCACATCACAACCCCTGAAGGGTTGATGACCACAGTAAAGTTGTTCTCACTCCAAAGGCCACTGATGATCTCTCCTGAGAAGATGTTCTGGGCCTGCAACGGGAAGGGACATATCACCATCAGTGCTAGCATGGGAACAGCTATGCAGAGATCCCCTCGGAGGATGGAGAAGCCTGCACGGTGACCTGTTGGTGCTAGGCCTCCAGCCCACCCTACAGGAGCGGGAGCTTTGACCCTCCCTCACTTCCTTACCAGCAAAGCTGACAGAAACCGGAGCACAGAAAGCAGAACCCCCGCCCCCCCAGTGGAAAGCTGTGAAGAGTGTGATAGCAAAAGCTGACCAACGAGGAAGGACCAGCTTGGGAGTCAAGGGCACTCATTACACAGTAGTCCCACCTGCACAGCTTGAAAGTACCAGGGCAGAGAACACCACCACAACTCTGGGTGCCCCTGGCTGCACCTTCCGGAGGCCCCAAGTCATGGGTGTGGCTATATATGAGTAAGGACCACTCCTAGCAATGCCCTCTGAGGCTGGGCCGGGGGCTGTAGGTGTCAGGACACTCACATCATACACTTTGGCTCTGGGAAAGTTCAGCTTTGCGAGGGAGGTGTGGAAGTGGTAAGGCATGTCTGTCCTCCGGCTGAAGAAGACCAGTGCGCTCGCCTCGTTAGTCAGGGGCCGCTTGTACACTTCGATTTGGTATTCATCCTAGGAGTAAAAAACGAGCACTGGCTGCAGTCCCTGCTCAGTGGTCCCAGTGTCCCTGCCTAGGCCTCTCCTTGTGCTCTGCCTCCGACCCCAGTCCACAGCTTGGTTCCACAGAGGTCTGAGGATGATGCCACAGCCTCCTAGCACTCATTTCCCATTTCTTTCCTGATTCAGCAGGTACTGACACCTACTCTGTGGCAGGCCCCTTGCAAGAGGCCCTGCCTCAGAAACCCACGGGATGATGGGGTGGGGGTGGGGTGGGAGGGGAACGACAGGCAGACACAGCGAACTGAGGGCACACCATGGGAATGCTCGCCAAGACCCCTGCCAGGGCTGCTGCTGGGGGCACCACCCAGCAGGAACACTGGGCACTGCTCTGGGAGGGTAAGCAGTGGTGCTGGCTTTGAGTAGAGAGGCAGCTTCATCCTCTAGAAGGTTCTCCAGGCCCACCCAGCTCCACCGTCAGCACTTCTGGCAGGGACTATTTACCTCCTCTCGGCATCACTAATTCAAGTGCCTTTATATATATAAATCTCCTGTGTGTGTGTGTGTGTGCGTGCGTGCATGCACAGTACATGTTATAAGGTCAGCAAACAACCTGTAGCATTCACTCTTTCCTTCTACCACCGAGGGATTGAACTCAGATTATCAGGCTTGGCAACAAGTGTCTTTACCAGCTGAGCCATCTCACCAACTCTCAAGAAAAGTCTTCTCTAGTTTTTGATATGTTTCTTTTCACCAGAGTCAGGAATTTGTGCAAATAACAAAGGCTTTGGGGTAACACTATTGAATTCAACTCTGTTTATACAAATGTGTAGCCCTGGGAGAAAGCTGCTTAAATTCTTGAAGCTCTAATCTCAGGAAAACAGGAAAGAGCATCTACCTTGCTAAGAAAATGCACCATACCAAGAATGCCCAGCCCCTAGTAAAAGTACACACCAGTAGTAGTTTTTGGTTAAAACAATTTCATAAACTCTTAGCTGGGCTTGGTGGCTTTAATCCCAGCACTCGGGAGGCAGAGGCAGGCAGATCTCTGAGTTCAAGGCCAACCTAGTCTACATAGTGAGTTCCAGGCCAGCTGGGGCTACAGGGAGACCCTGGCTCAAAAAGACCAAAATAAACAGAGAAACAAGAACAAAAATTTTTCATAAACTCTGGAGGGAAGTATTCATTTTCTGCGGGACATCACCTGTGTGCGACCGCACTGTGACTCACTGATCCTGTGCTCTCGTGATGTGTGCCACTGTGACTCCAAGGAGCTATCCTGCTCAGAGGCCAGGCAGGAAGTCAGCGGTTGGAGCAGCTCCCAGCAGAGCCTCTAACCCTAAGCAACCAGGAGGGACCCTAAGAGGGCATTCCAGGTACTCTCCAGTCTAGTAGCCCTGCTCTCTGGGGGAGCCCAGTTCCTCAGCCCTGTCTTCCACAACCCTCCTCCAGTACCTCGTAAATCCTGCGTCCCTGGATGCCTAAGGGGTCCTGGTTGATTTTGATCATGAGTGGATTCTGAAGAATATCCATATTCTGGGGGGTGATGGTGCGCAGGTCTGTAGACATGAAGAGTGGGGCTGCAAGCATCGTCCACAGAGCCATCTGGGACCGAGATTCCTCAAAGCTTAGGCCAAAGTTCCCAATGAGCAGCTGGGAGCAGAGGAAAGGAGTGGTCAGCCCCAGCCTCCTCAGAGAGGTGGGTGGCAGGGTCTTTGACAAACATGTGGCCAAAGCAAGAGGAGACAGAGATTGGGGAGACAGCTCGTGGGGGCCTGGCTTGGCACAGCCGTGTGGCCTTGGGGTAAGTCACTTTCCATTGAGCATCAAGGAGAGTCGGGGTGATGGTCTTTGGCTGTTCAGATGATGAGATGGTACCTGTGGCCAGAAAGTTTGTAAGTGGGGACATGCAGGTTAAGAAATATGCCCAAGGGTCCAGGCCTGGTGGCACAGACTTGTAATCACAACTGTTTAAGAGGCTCAGGCAGAAAGATCACAAGGTCACAGAGGGAGTTCAAGGCTAACCTGAGCAATTCAGTGAGACCTTGTCTCAAAATAAAAATAGGGTGCTTCCTGCATGTGCGTGCATGAGCGTGTGTGTATGTGTGTACGGTGCTTGCCGTGTGTGTGTGTGTGTGTGTGTGTGTGTGTACGGTGCTTGCCGTGTGTGTGTGTGTGTGTGTGTGTAGGGTGCTTCAGCACCCACATGAAGGCTAACAACCCTC